CCCTCTCAAATCTATCTCAAATTATATTATAGAGTAAACTGTGTTATATAAGCGGTTGTGAGATGAAATGAGCTGGAAATGAATCTTGTGGAGCAGGTGGATCCGACCTGGTCCAAAGTGTTCTGGAAAACGAGTGCTCGTGGTCCACTCCCTTAATGGGGGTACCGAATTTTCGCTATTTTTCCCGATTTCTCATCGGAAAAGCGAGAAAAATCGATTGGTAGTTTTTCCGACCTACATTTAAAATTACATTCAGAATATTTGCGAACTAAATGATTTTTTTTAAATTCAAATTTAGTTTGAGTACGGAATACACTAGGTGGCGCTTTCTATATTGGTTGAATCTTATAACATTGCAAGCATATAGCGATTCCAGACACTGATTAGACTGATATATTTTTTATCAGTAATTTATTCTTTAAGTTTATTTTATCTCTTTATTTTGTTTTTTTACCAAAAGCTGTGTATTGTTTCATGTTTGTTTTTAAATATTTTATGTAACCTAACAAATGGGTTGGTGATTTGATTGATATTGAAACAGGACGTTCCAAATTGACAAATGACTTGCCAAATACATGAATACGTAAAATACATTACGTCAAAAATGTCACAATCTCTCCCATCTCTCCAAGCCAACAGATAGCATTAATGTAAACCATTCGCAATGTGTCTCTTCTTAGAGCCATCCACTTGGCGTTTAGGCTGTTCCTTTTCCATTGAAAGAGTTGTCAAGTCCCGTTTGGAAATTTTCTTCGCATGCAATGAAATCAGGTTGTCCACCATCAGCTCTGAGTAACCATTCAAAAGGGCAGCGTACTTGATGTATTTGACCTCTTCCATATAGTTGTTGATGTTTAGAGGAAGGCGGACTAAACGATGAACCATACTATGGAATGCTGCTTTTTTATGGGATGTAGGACAGTGTGAATCGAAAGGGATGTAGCATGGTGTGTTACTGGGTTTTCTATAAACTCCAAATTCAATCGAACCATCGGTTTTGTGTGAAATCCGAACGTCTAAAAATGGTAATGACTTATTCGTTTCCAGTTCAATTGTGAAATTAATGGTTGGTTGTTGTGAATTTAATAACGCCATAATCTCATTCTCCTTCTCCCTTTCGATAACTGCCGCTACATCATCCACATATCTCCACCAAATTCTCGGTAAACTATTTTCTTCTTTCAATTTCATTTCGAAATTCGACATGAACAAATTTGCAAGAAATGGTGAGAGTGCATTTCCCATGCATGTGCCTTTCGTGATTTTGATCACTATAAATCACATCAATTTCAAATCAAATTATATTTTAAATCTTTCATTGAATATTTAACAATAAAATAAAAACATGAAAAAAAAATTATCATTTGAAAAAAATAGTTTTTTTTACGAAAAATCATTTTACACTGAACTTGCAAAATCAAAGTGTAAAATGACGGTTTGCACTGACGTTATACACACA